GTCAGATCTAAAATTAGATCCCAATGTATTCTGATTGGGCGCAGGGCACGCACCTCTGTGGCGATATACTCCTATGGGCAGGGCTGAGAGTGGTGATCAAAGCTTTGATAGAAACCCCCGACAGCTCCAGTCCTGAGTAGAGTCAACCTAACAAGGCAGGCCTGACCCCCTGTCCCCTTCCTCCCTCCATGCTTTCTTACTGTGATAACAGAGACATTCCTGAGCTCCTTCCCTGCCTTGCTGCAGGCCTCTCCCTTAATTCCAGTGGAGTGTGTGGAATGTTGGACTGCAGAGCCGAGGAGGCGAATGGACGAGAGGAAATGAACAACCTTAATAACCTTATAGGTCTGTTGTTGGTCCTGGAGCTCGAAGCACCTGGATACCCAATGCAGGATGGACCATGCACATATGCATGCACACAGGCGCACACAGACACACACACACACTCATACACACAGACAAGCAGGGAGAACATCTGCCATACAATGTGCAAATCTGGAGCAAGCCCATCCATATGTAGCGTTGTAGTTGGATTAACTATGTAAGTGAATCAGAAGGCTGGATTACAGGACATGTTGGGATCTTCTAAACATGCAGATAAGACACCATGAGATACATGTACTGCTTTGGATCTCAGCAACAAAATGTCCAAGAACTGACAAGACAGAGAAAATAGTGTTTAGGAATTGATGGCTAAAAAAATAATCATACATTTATTACACCATGAACTTTTGAATATAACATTTATACTTAAATATGTTGTATGTTTTAATTAAAAATGAGTATAAATGATATAAATGACCATACCCATCATATTATAATATAATTGTTCTTTTAAAATTGATGAGCCCCATTAGGAACATATTTTTCTTAGACATATGATCTTCTTTATCATGTACTGTTACCACAACTGTAGATGTATAGGCTGAATTTGAAGCTCTAAACATCTGTGATCTATAGCCTTAGTGGATCAAACGGAAATCAGCAGAATTTCCAGAAAGTCAGAGTCTGGTCAATTCCCCTCCACAATGAGGTGTGTGTGAGAAACAGAGACAGAGAGAGACGGAGAACTCCAAAGGAGAGGGGGGAAATAAAGCTGCTACAGCCAGGTGAGCAGAGCACATGAGCGAATAAAGTGAAAAGATAAACCAGGTCAAGATCAAAGGGAAAAAGAAAGAGATTTGGCAAACGCTTCATCTATAAAAAAAAGGAAAGAGAGGGAACATTCTGTTCTGGGCTTTACAGTCAGAGTGATGGGCTGGAAAAAAAGATGAAGGGCAAAACATATCAGAAAGAGTGATATACGGCACTGCAGTGCTATTTGGAGCATAAATCTCCACCTCTCCTCGGCGCTTCTGGAAATCAATTCTCTCCATTGGTTGCTGTTTTATTTATGGGTCACCATTAGGGATGAACCATCAGCAGCTATGATGACTGAGAGTTGCTACAGAGAGAGGGGGGGGGTGTCACCAATACATCCAGCTGCATCCCTGGAGAATCACATGAGCAACGACATTTAAGGTTTCACACTTGGATTTAAACTGAACCAGGCGGCCTGTTAATCATCGACCTCGTACAATTCTTAGATCAGAATCTCAAGTCAAGAGCAGCTTCTGACGCTTGTAAATAAAGATTTAAGGAACTCTTAGTCAGCTTACACACAAAATGTTTGTTTCTCCACAAATAATTGTGCAAAATCACCATTTTAAATATTATATCTAACAAAGATTTACTTTTATTGTAAATATAGCATAGAAGCTTTAAAACAGTTCTGGTCCACAAAATAAATCTCAGTGCAACAAGAAAAAACAAATCATTTGTCAGCTAATCTACCAAGCGGGGTCAACCTAACTCTTGATGTGTGTGTGTGTGTGTGTGTGTGTGTGTGTGTGTGTGTGTGTGTGTGTGTGTGTGTGTGTGTGTGTGTGTGTGTGTGTGTGTGTGTGTGTGGGTGTGGGTGTGTGTGTGTGTGTGTCCTATTGCAGG